ATTCAAGAAATACTGGATATATTTTATGTCTTGCTTAATATATTGTATATTTGATGAATTTATCAATTTCAGAATTTTCACTAATCTATCCTTTAATCATATATCAAGGTCACATTTTTTATACCATAATTTTTGACAAATGGTTTATCACAATAAGAACATTTTATATCTGAGACATTTAATTTGTTAAATTCATATTCTATTGCATCTTGAACTTCATTTTCATAGCTATTTGCATTCATTTTTTTTAAAAAAAAGTTTTATAGATAAATTTGTAAATTTGTTTATTTTAAATAATCTCTAGAAAAATTCTCTGAATATGCAATGGCTGACAAATTATAAAGAAGGAAACATCTTCCAGGACGAGTTCTTTCTTGGCCTTCATACAGCCCAGACTTGAACCCTATTGAATGTATGGGCTGTATTAAAGGGAAAGGTGGAGAAAAAGATCAAGTATTTAGTAGCAAAAAAAAAAAATTACGATGTATTCCTTAATACAATCCGACAGGAATGGGACGATCTTGATGACGCCATGTCGGCGCATCGAGAGCATGCCAAGCCGGGTTAAAGCATGTATCAATGCAGAAGGAGGACACACCAAATATTAATTAATAATATAAAAGTTGTTGTTAGTATTGTTCTTATAAATAATAAAAAATATATATATACATTAAAATAAAGTTTGTACATACCGTCGAAATATGTTTCCGCCATTCTTTTCGCCGGGGACTGTATAAACGAATCTATACTTCGTTAATATAGTGACCTTTTATTGAACGATATAAATATCGTTCAATAGAACTATGATATAATTCAAACATTCAAAGAATAATACGTGTAATTCCGAAGGTTTTGTGTAATTTTTCCGTGATATAAAAATATACTAATTGATCCTCCGTTAGCACTGCGGTATGATTTCCTTTACAACATCAGCATTCTCGAATTCCTTGATTTTTACTCCCACTTTATTCACTATAGAATTTTGTGGACAATTTATTCCAAAAGGTGTATTTTACTCAATTAAACACATTTTGTTTAAAAATAAAAAAAGGATATATTTTTTTTTATTCAAAATTATAACGACATTAATACTCTAATCAGGATGCCAACACAATATCCTTTCCTAAATGTTGGTAGATCTTGTATAAGCATTCAAGTCAGAAATATGTTCAACCAGTTGAATGGTTACAAACCAGGAATTTCAGTACACCTGATCCACATCTCTTGAAGTTAACGAAAAAAAGAAATTAACGCAGAGGTTTTGAAATTATGAGTATTAAAATAAATAACAAGCTGCGTGGCGTGACTGCAACTATTGATATGATGGATTTTGCCGTTCGAATTACATTTTCATCACAGAAATTTTTAAGTATATCTTTTAAAAATAGGAACGACCGTAACTTTATATAGTTTATTTGCACTAATGCAAATATATTCGTGACGATTAACGCTTAGTTTGGTATCTATCGACTCAACATCGATATCGATATTTCATAAATAAATACGATGAGTTTTAAACTATTTTATGTGGGATCATGCTGAAATGTAATGAGTTGTAATATTATAAACTTTTGCTTTACCAAATATTAATTTCAAATCATCTTATTTTATGACCTTAATAATTATTAAAAGGTGGTGTTTTACTTTTCCAATGACAATAAAAATAATAATAATATAATAATATCATTGTCAATTTATATTTTATTTTTATTCCCTTTTTTGTCATCCAAAAGGTCGTTTTATCGCGATCTTTACGACAATGAAATCCATAACGTTAATAAGGGAACGATAATTGGTGTTGTCAGCTCAAAAAAAAAATTTATCACCTGATTTTCAAATATACCAGAATTATCAGACTTGCGGATATAACTCGTAAAAGCGAAACAATTCTTTTGTTTTAATCTCTTGCAGTGCATAATGAATAATCTACATGTAGAGGCAAGCAAGCATGAAAGTAAGACGCGGATTGTTTTATTTTTCCTCCATTCAACAATATTTCTTAGAGGAGGTTGGAAGTCTGTAGGTTGGAGTAATCAAATCGATAAAGTAAAGGACTATGTAGGCGGGATGATAAATACTACATCATTTTATTTTGATACTTGAAAAATTAAATTTTGAAACATAAAGTAAAGTTTCACTATTATGGAAAAACAATAGAAGGAGTCTGATGCTTATCAATGATTGATTAAGCTTCGCCAGCTAATTATGTAGCCATTTTTACTTTGAAAATAACTTTTGGCAAACAAAACTTAACTAGAAATTTGTTCCTATATTAAGCCGAAACACTTTTATTACAATATAATTGATGTTTAGAGTTTGAATTTTCAACCTTCAAGAACTTTTGCACTCGATAAATTTATTGTTTCTTAGTCAAATTTATTAATTCTTTGATAATTACCGCAGTATCTGATCACATTATCACATATGATTTGATAACTTCCCAGCGTAACCACCAAAAAGTCGCAGTTTCGTGACATTTTGGCCTGCATTATGCGGCTAAATGTAATAATGCCAGATTTACCGTTTAATATTTCTTTCTTGTTAAATGAAAAGTTATTATATTAAAACGCTTTTTTATTGAGAGATTTATTTATTATTTCACGCCGTGTGAAAAAACCAACCCCCCCGATATTTATAAAAAATGAAATACGGCAGGTGTAACACGGCGTGACAAATTTTTTTATTATGATTACGTAACTGAGACTTTTTGGTGGTCACGCTAGGGAAATCTAATTTGTACATTGCAACTTTCGGAGAATATTTTCCGTAGATCTAATTCTGGTCGTAATAATTCCTTTTATATCCTTATTGAAATAAGCAATTTTTACAAATTTATCCAGAGAATTTTTTTTTAAAAAAATGGATGCTAATAACCATGAAATTGAAACTCAATTCGATAAATTAAATGTCTCAGATACGAAATGTTCTTATAGCGGTAAACCATTTGCCGAGAATTTATGATGTGATGAATGTGATCCTTGGTGTATGATTGAAGGATGGACTAGTGGAAATTCTGAAAATGATAAATTCATAAAAGATACCATTTATGAGGCAAGAAATAAAGCGTGGGAAAGCTTTCTTGAATGGGTGCCTTTTGATAGTTCACAGATATAAAAGAAATGGGCGAAGGAGGATTTGCCAAAGTGTATTCTGCAACATGGATCGATGGTCAATCGCACTTTTATATGCAAGATTACGGAAGTAGGAAAAAGTATGGTTCTGGACCTACGAAGATTGCTTTTAAAAGGTTAAATGGATCACGAGACATGTCAGCCAAAAATTTTAGTGAGGTATATTACATTTATATTTGATATGAATTAATAAGAATATTCTTCTAATTTGCTTTTAAATTTTATTACATAAACTAGCTTAAAGCACATTGGGATTCTTTCAAAACAGGTGAATGTGTATTAAAATTTTGTGGGATAATTAAGGATCCAGAAGCCAAAGATTTTATTATGATTGTACAACTTGCACCTGATGGAAATTTAAGAAGTCATCTTTCAAATAAATTTAACAACTTGTCATGGGAAGATAAAATTGTAAAATTATTAAATTTAACTGGTGATCTTTATAATTTACATAAATTAGAATATTGTCATAAGGATTTTCATAGTGGAAATATCTTGCAAGATGAAAAATATTGTTATATTTCAGATTTTGGATTATGCGGACCAGCAGATAAGCAAAAATCGGATGATAAAATATATGGAGTATTACCTTATATCGCACCAGAAGTTTTGAATGGAGAATTATATACTTTAGCTTCTGATATCTACAGTTTTGGGTGTAATTATGGCTGAACTATCAACTGGAAATACTCCATTTTATGATAGAAAACATCACGTATCTTTAGCCTTGAATATTTGTAACGGACTTCGTCTAGAATTTGGCAAAGAAACCCCTGAATTTTACAAGAAATTAGCTCATAGATGTATGGATGCAAATCCAAATAAAAGACCAAAAGCCGATGAATTAAAAGAAATATTGAATTTTTGATTCTATTTATTATTATGAAGAGTATAAAAATGACAAAGAATATGGATATTATGGAAAAGAAATAAAGGAAGCAGATAAAGAGATACCAAATATTTCAATTTCACGCAAAACTAATCCTGATTCTATATATATATAAGTAGAGCATTTTCATTTATAAATTTGACAAAACCTATTAATTCGTCACTTATCACCTCATATCTTGAAATATATACTTAACTTTTATTCCGTTGACGAAATATTAATTTCAATGCATTTTAACAGATCATCAAGATTCTCAATTAATTGAATTGGAAATTTCTAGTTCAATACAATTAAGATGATATAAGTCAGGTTCTTTTTTATCCCAATTTTGGGTTTCCGGTCATATTTTCAGGTGAATGATATTAATTGGTCACACGATACGATTATTTATTTCAAAATAATTAAAAAATAATTAAATTATAAATTACTTTTTCTAATTCTTCTATGATCTAATCTTACTTATAGTAGGAAATAGCGTAATCGTAACTTTTAGAACAATTAAATTATAAATGTATTTAAAAATATCAAATAAATGAATTTTATCAACATTTCCCATAACGTTTAAACAAAAAAACATTTCACAATTGTCCTCTACAACAATCAAAGAGAATTGAATTATTACATGGATAATATAAGTTATTAAAAATTAATGAACAGAATCTGTTATTTAAAATCACATTTTCATAAAGAAGAAAAGAAGCACGATATAAAACCCATGGGTTTACAATTCAAGAGAAGGGTCAGATAAACAAGCAAGCAGTATCATTAAATATGTAATGTAGAGGCCTGCAACGGGCCGGGTCCGGTGCGGAAACCCGGCCCGTATCCGGGTTCTGGGCCGGGCACGGGCCGGAAAATATAAGTTTGGAATTTTCCGGTTCAAGGTACCAGCCCGGATTTTTTTATAGTTTTGGCAAAAATCATTATTTAATTAAAATTTAGCCGCCACTGATTGTATAATAAAATATTTTATTATTGCTAATCAATTTCATATTGTTTGTAAACAGTACAGTGGTATCACTTTAGTATTACATAGTGCTCTTCATTAATTTTTTTTGTTTGTTTATTTATAATAATAATTTGTTAAAAAATTGTAAAAAAAAAATACATATCATTTATTTTTGTAATTTGTTAAATAAAAATAAAATGATTAAATTATTAAATTTCGCATCGCCAATAATTATAATTAAGTCCGGGCTTCAAAATTTGGACTTATGCAGGTTTCCAATGTAATGTATTAACATGATTGAATTTTCACACAAAAATATTAGACTAACATATTGCATTTGATAAAAATCAGGTTAAAACATAAGCGTTAAAGAATGTTAGCGATATCGTATCAATAATTAATGAATATTCTTTTTTTCTTTTATCAAAAGGAGCGACTTAGAGTCAATTCTGGAACCTAATATAAATTCAACATATTCTGGGTTTTCCTGAGTTACTAACCAATTTTATAAAACAAACTGGACCGGTTCTGAGAGTCGGCTCAAATCGGAATGTTTGATAACAGTCAAAATTGAACAACATCAATAGTATATATTTAACTTAACGTTCGAAGTTTTAATTTACTTGAGTCAAAGTAAAACCAATTCATTGCATATGCCACCAATGGCGGCGGACTTGGAGAATTGATCCGCTTGTTAAGTGACGTTTCTGAAAATTGTCGGTTCTGAAAATTCGACCATTAATTAAATATGAGGTAAAACACCGTTACGAATCATATGATTTAACTCGATTTTAATAGCAAATCTCCCTACCTTGATCATTTGATATTTTAAGAAATAATTAAATCGAATCGTTATTTTTAGATAGAATTTCAACTAATTAGGGCTAGTATTTGTCCTTTCCTGATAGAAGAATTTGGAAATCTTCTCTAGGCTTATTATGAGGCAGTAATAGTGGTTTTTCTTTTTGTAATCCTAGTTAATTATTGTTTGTAAGCCCACCCTGTAAATCACATAGCCTCTTAGCAATCTTTATGAATAAATCGAGAAAATTCTCTTCAAATTGGATCACAAGTTCATGCGTTAAATTGTTGCTTACTCAATGATCAATAGTTTATTAATATCAAAAATAATACTATACCATATAACTTTTAATTATTTTTAGACGAATCTAAAAAGTACAAATATTGTGTGAAGACCTATTAAATTGTTAAAATTACATTAATATTTATTACTACAAGAATTATATCGTTATTACAAGCTAAAATATCTTACATTAAAATAAATTATACAATCTAATCCATAGATATGTAATTGCAAATGCTCTAGACTATTTTAAGCATCTTAATAAACTTCAATTATAGACGTCTATCATTATATAAATCAATATTAGCTTATATTCAATCATAAATATCGATATTACCTCTTAATTGTGATGAGCTAGGAATTTCTAATTCATGTAATTGAGAATCTTGAAATATTAAAATGCTTTAAAATTAAAATTTATATGTAATTATCGAAATAAAAAATACAAAATACCTTCATTATTCTCATCATTTTCAAGATATGAAGCAATAAATGATGAATTAATAGGTTTTGTCAAATTTTTTAATAAAAATGCTCTACTTGTATAAATAGCATCAGGATTTATTTTACGTGAAATTGATATATTTGGTATTTCTTTATCAGCTTCTTCAAATGCTTCCTTTATTTCTTTTCCATAATATTCAAATTCTTTGATATCTTTATACTTCTCATAATTATTAATAGATTGATGCCAAAAATGCAATATTCCATTTAATTCATCGACAATTGGTCTTTGGTTTGGATTTGCATTCATACACATATAAGCTATTTTCTTATAAAACTCAGGGGTTCCTCTTCCAAATTCTGGACGAAGTCCATTACAAACATCTAAAGCTAAATCTAAGTCATGTTTCCTATTATAAAATGGAGGGTGCCCAGATGACAATTCAACCATAATTACACCAAAACTGTAAATATCAGAAGCTAAAGTATATAATCTACCATTCAAGACCTCTGGAGCGATGTACGGCAATACACCATATATTCGGTCATCTGATTTTTGCTTATCTGCTGGTCCTGATAACCCAAAGTCTGAAATATAAGAATCTTCATCTTGCAAGACATTTCCACTATGAAAATCCTTATGACAATATCCTAATTTATGAAAATAATAAAGGTCAGAAATTAAATCAGTTAAATTTACAATTTTATCTTCCCATAACAAGTTGTTAAAATTATTTGAAAGATAATTTCTCAAATTTCCATCAGATGCAAATTGTACGATCATAATAAAATCTTTTGTTTCTGGATCCTTGGTTATCCCATAAAATTCTAATGCACCACCACCTGTTTGACAAATATCCCAATGTGTTTTAAGCTAGGTTTGTAATAAAAATTTAAGAGCAAATTAGAAGAATATTCTTATTAATTCATATCAAATATAAATGTGATATACCTCA